CTGCTGAACATCTCTGCTCTATATCCCCCTCTCTACTCCACCTTCACTGTCACTGCTGAGGTTTCGTACTGCAAACTGCCACCCCTCCAGTTCCCCAGGTGCACAAACGCATCAGGTGGAGAACATTTTCCTAGTTTTTGTTCCCTCCATTTCTCTGATTTTCTCCAGCACAGAACACCCAGCTCTATACACTTCATTTAGTTCTGTCTGTGCATGTCCCATTTGGGATTCCAGTGCATTAAATTTCACAGGAAAAAGGAACAACAGTTAGGCAAGAGGTCTGTTACAACATATTCACGTGAACCAGCCTTCTACTACGTATACAACTGCTAAAAGTTGTTTTCTTGAATGAAACAGGACTTCCATCTCTTCATGGCCTTGTTCAATTACATAAAGCACACAGGAGTTTCTGAATTATACAGAAACAGAGATGAACCAGAACAACTATTTAAAGACTATTCATGTCCAGTAAAAAAGTCTGAGGATAACATTATAGATTATTATTTTGTAGGATAATACAAGGGTAACTGACACACATTAGTTGCTGACACAGCACATCTGTTTTGTGTCGCGTATGTCTGCAAGAACTAAAAGCTACCCTTAAAAAAAATAATGCAGTTGAAGTGCTGACAAACTTAAAAAGGTTGAGGGGAAAAAACCCTGTAACTCGAGAATAAAAAGAGGACGGAAAAAAATTATATACCATTTAGGTTTACACAAAAACCCCGCACCTTTTTCTTAAGGACATACTGAAGTTAATAAGTATATTTAAGGTAATGAATAACTACAATATTAAATAAATTGCCATTAAAATCAGGACTCTAAGTTATGACTGAATGTCCTTCTAAAACATCACTAATTCAATTAAGCACCTCTAGACAAATTCCTGCGTACTGCTTTATGGTTTCTGCTACGCAAGAAACCACATTGCTGGCATAACAGTCCATTCTGAGTAAGAAAATCTTCAGTAGTACAATAATTAAAGAACTCAAAAATATTTAGTTCATTCAAATTTGCTTCAGATAATTGTTCTGTAGGAGATAAAAGCTTCTATGTGATGGATTCAGGAAAGTATGCTTAAGATTTGTCTGGATAGTCCAAACACTAGAATTTATTCAGAAAGAGGAAATTAATACACGACAACATAAGGATCTCATAATAAATACCCAAACTTTGTATTTTAACAGAAAAAAGCACACTAGAGATACAGAGGACAGCTGAATTGCAGAGAATCAGTGGCATGCATTCCCTGGACATCTGTATGAATCCCCATAACCTCTAAATTCCTCTACTTTACCCATTTCTTACCTGTAACACATTACTTTCAGCTTCCTCCCCAGTAATCACTTCCACCTTCGCCAATAAACACTTCCTTGCTGTTGCTTTAGTATAGGCTGCTGCAGACTCTGCCAGCGATTCTGAAATATTATTAGCTGAACAACATTTTGAAAGTTTGAGAATGATTAGCATATAGTTATGTAAGATTGGTAAAGGTTTCACAAAAGTATACCAGAATTTGGAGAAATAAAGTACAGAAGGATAGACACAGAATAACAGAACATTAGAAATGGGACTGAAATTTAAAGCTTGTCTTTTGTGCTTTTAAAACAAGTGTTAAGACAACACAAGGACAGAAGAGGTTACTGAAATTTGGTCTGTGGGGACAACATTCTCCAAAACCTTTGCTAACCCATGGACACTCACATATCTGTAGGTGCTCTGGCACTGCTACCAGCTGTGCCTGCTCATGTACAGCACTGTTCATTTTCCACTTTTGGCTTTCAAGCAGTTTGCTGCAGAAAACCCGATTCCCAAAATGCCCAGAAAACCTTGCCAATCTAAAAAGCCACATAAGACTAAGCCCCAGCAAACCGTTCTTGGTTCGAGCAACACATCTGGTGCACCCACTCAGTACAACCTACATTCGGCTCAGACATTCAGTCACTGAATGTGCAATAGCTTTGTCAAAAGAGTTTGCCATGTTTTTTTCTACACTCTATAGGTCCAAGTACCTGCAGTGTTAATTCCCCTGCTTCCACTCTGCTGCAGATAATCTCAATACCACAGAAGGACCATGACCATGTGTTTAACATTAAAGACAAAAGGACAGGAGAATCTATAGCATCCAGCACATCACCTCCCACCACAACCCTGTATCTTCAGTTAAAGTAGACAGTAAAGACAACATAAAAATGTTATGTTTTTATGAAGTAATGGGATATTAAAATGCAATCATTTTAGCAAGGATTAACTACCATTCCTAAAATAATACTTTGCTTTTCACCTTTCTCTGGTGTGGCTTCCTGAGAAGATGATTCAGACCCAGACTCTGTAGCAGCATTCTCCTTATTACTCTCCGAACTGCCTTCGTTTGATTTTGGTGGACTCTGTCGCAGAGAGAAGAAGAGGTAAACAGAAGAGAGGAAGCATGTACTAGTTGTGCACAACCAAGACTAGTGATCAGTTACTGAAGGAAGCCCCAGTGTTTATAATCCATAAGGCAAAAGAAGAATCCCACAGATGACATGTTTTCACCGTAAAAGCTATCCTACCATCCTGGCGAAGGAATTGAACGGAGCATGACCTAAAAGCCAGTTCAAATTATTTTCTCCTGAACTAAAACCAAATTTCAACCTTTATTTTGAAGTTACATTCAACAAAAAACAATTTCAGCTACAGGTCAACTCACAGCATACTCAACTGTACTCTCTGCTGAGTGGTTAGACAGGTATGAACACAGCATTAAGTGTTTCCCTTTCGTACCAGTACAGCAATAAAACCAGTAGTGAGGCACTGAAGTTCCACCTCCCACAATAAACACAGAACTTCCTGAATCACAGCTCAGCACTGAGGGACCTCCCTTACACCACACCTGAAATCCCATCACTGGAGGGGTCTTTTCTTAATTTGGAGGACAGGAAACACAACCCACCCTCAAACACTCATAGCAAAGAAGCCACTTAAAGACGCAAGCTTTGTCACAAAGTGCTTGGACTTGAGAACCATGTGCACTGCAGAGGACTCAGCTGCATCCTGGGGTGCATTAAGAAGAGAGTGGCCAGTCCGTGCAGGGAGGTTCTTCTGCTCTGCCCTGGGGAGGCCACATCTGGACTACTGTGTCCAACTCTGGGCTTCCCAGTTCAAGAAGGACAAGGAACGACTGGAGAGAGTCCAGCAGAGTCATTGAGATGAGGGGACTGGAGCATCTCCCATGTGAGGAAAGGCTGAGAGAGCTGGGTCTGTTCAGCCTGGAGAAGAGGAGACTGAGGGGGGATCTCATTGATCCTTATCAATATCTCAAGGGTGGGGTCAGGAGGATGGGACCAGACTCTTCTTGGCTGTGCCCAGCAACAGGACAAGGGGCTGTGGTCACAAACTGAAACACAGGAGGTTCAACCTAAACACAACAAAAAACTTTTCCTGTGAGGATCACAGAGCACTGGCCCAGGCTGCCCACAGAGGGCGTGGGGTCTCCTTCTCTGGAGACATTCAAACCCTCCTGGACATGTTCCTGGGTGATCTTCTCTGGGTGACCCTGCTCTAACAGGGGGTAGGACTAGGTGATCTCCAGAGGTCCCTTCCAACCCTGACCAGTCCGATTCTGTAACCTCCTCACACTGGGAGAGCTTGGCAGGTAAATCCCAGGGACTGCTGTGGCAGACAAAAGCTCATAGTGAAACCCCAACACTGACTTAAAGTAAGTGACCTACAAGGGAAGCCACTGAAAGAAAACCATGCTCCAGTGCCAAGTATAATTAAAGGTTATCAAAAGTCCCAAGGAAGAATCCATAATGCAAACTACTCACAAGATTACAACATTTCATACACAACAGATACTCACTAGGACTCGTTCACTCATGTTCTGTCCAAAAACAAACTTGTTGCTAGATGCATCTGCACTGTTTGTAGAGTTCTCTACACTGGAAAAAAGGAAAACCAAACCAAACCAGGTTTTGTAAGTCAGAAAGATTTTTTTATCTTCTACTGATAAAATTCCCAAAAATGTCAGCATTTGTCAACGTCTTTAAAAATTAAGCACTCATTGACACAGAAACATAAGCAAAAGTTAATTCAACTTAGTAACATGAGAGCACATACCGGTTTTATGGAATAGAATTCTCTCAGAATAACAGCAAATTATTTTGTCACTGTAAAGATCTTCCCTTTGTATACCTAACTGCATATTAAGCAATGCTGAACGCATTGCATGTAAGGGCTTACTGCTTAATCATATAATGTACTTTTTTAACAGTATTCTACATGCACAAACCTGAACCACTACACATTTTTAGGTCAATTTTCTCAGAAAGGAAAAGAATTGTAACAAAAACACAACATTATAACTGAAGCAAAGGTAGCAGGGATAAGTAATGCCTTTTATGAGGTTAGCTGCAGTGCTACAGCCTCCCCACAAAGTCTCATGGTCAAACTTCAGCCTTCACACCCTCCTGACAGAATAAGCATCCTCGTCCTGTATGACATTCTTATTGACAGATTTTAATTCCCATTTAGGATGGGCAAAAGTTTTACTATTTTACAGACTCAAACTTTAATCAAAGAAGATCAATTCAATAAAACTTTGATTAAAAGATCTGACAGCACTTCTGGAAGGGCATCAACCTGGCATCCACAGTCACTCATGGTGTTCTCTACCTCTCCAGTGCATCACCTGAAAATCCCCAAGTCAAAAGGGATTAAGACTGCAAAACTGTCTTGTGCCTACTTTGTGGTGAAGGCCATGCAGGTGAACAACAGGGTCTTAAAAACACAGAATGTAAGGGCAAGGCAAGCACATATCAGTGCTTTTCCTGCAGTTATTTCATGGCCTCAAACAATCTGCAGTTCAGGTTCTTCCAGGAGCAGAAGTGTCACTCTACCCTATTGCTCTTGGTGGGATTTCCCTCCTATGCTTTTCCAGTTATTACCTGAATTCACAGCTCTGTGTACTAAGAAATTCTCTTCTGTTTTCTCCTCTTGCTGTAACACTAGATTTTTTGGACCACTAATGAGTTAACATTTCATGTAGCAGCACTGACATCTTAGCCTTCAGTAAAGACTGTCAGTTCAGAGTCCATCACTGTACGGATAGGACTAGCACAGTTTTCACCTGGCTGCCTCACTTTACATATACATCAAATTCCTTCTGATGCTATTGCCTCCTCTGAAACTCTCAAAGGCCTCCCACAGTTAAGTTCCTGCTATTCATACCAGCCTTCTATATTGCTCTGAAAGTCTTATTATCATGAACAAATAACTTTTTTAAAAAAACCCTACTCTTCCCTTTATCCATGTCATATATGAAACATATTGAACACCACAAATACAGCACAGACCTCCACAGGATTCTACTGGTAGCTCAAATTTATTCCATTACTGTTTCTTTCTAATCATTCATGAGAATACTTCTCATCTTACACTTGTTAGTTTTCTGACGAGGCTTTGGTGAGGACCTGGTCACATAAATGGTGTGAAATACATCCGTAAGATCAGAATCACAAGTAATTTTGAACACAGTATAAGGAAAACTGTCCTGTAGGTTTCCCTGTAGTCTCACCTAGAGCTGATGTACTGTAGAAAGTAATTTGTTGCAGATGGTACATCTGATGTAGGAAGGCCAGCATTTTGCACATCAGCAGCTTCATCGCTTTCATCTCCTAGCTATGAAAAGAACAAGTACACATTGACAGTTTTAACTACTGACCACAACATTTTCAGCTCATTCTTTCCGAAGACAAAGTTCCATCCACAAACATTTTCTACAATAAAAGTATATACAATAAAAACAATATACACCTATGTCCCAGTATGTTTTTTGTTATGCTAGGAAACCTGCAGAAACCTGTCTTCAACAGGAGGCACTAACAATCCAACTCAATTACTCTGCACAGAGGTTTGAACTCAGGCTGCCCTATTTTTCTTTTCTCATCTTTTTTGTGAAATCTTGGTTGCATGTCTTAGGAAGACATTTCAACTTAATTCTGATCCAAAAGGTAAGAGAAAACATTACACCACACCGAGCTTTAGATGTTACCTCTGACTGAAGTAGATGCATTTATTTTTGAAAAAAGCTTCTTATGCTACTGAATGGTAATATTAATTTATTCAATGTCTGGAAGACCAGTTTTACTAAACAGTGAACTGAACTGTGTTCAGGTTTAATTTGGCATATACATATGGAGTTTCTGACCCCTTTATATGGTGGCTTCAAAGTATTTCACAAACTGTTTGCTGACATGAGCATCACACACTATCTGTTCCACTGCTTCTTATCCTTAAATGCATCAACTCTTAGTCAACATAAACACATGTTTACCTTAACTCTATCTCTTAAGTTTTGCCCAAATACAAATGCTTGGTGTGCATTTAGTTCCACCTTCTCACAGCTGTCATCATCTGAAGTATTGTTGGACTCTCTTTTCTGACATTCTCCTGCCTAAAGAAAAGGAATTGAAAAATTTAGCCTAGGCAATTGAGTTTATTTAAACAAAAAGCACACGTTATGACATGGTGAGTGACAGTCATTTACAATGACAAGCCAGTAACATCTCCAGAGCTAACAGGCAAATTTTACATTTTACAAATCCCCTGTTGTTGTTTAGGTCACCTTAATGAATTACAGAACAGTTAAGGTTCAAGAGGATCTCTAACAATCATTTGTGCTCAAAGCAGCATCAACCTCAAAACTATGCTAGGCTACCTCAGACCTCATACGGTCAAGTTTCAAAAAAATTCAAGGATGGCAGTTTTACAGTTCATGTAGCCTGGTTTGATGATGAATTGCACTAAATATGAGTTTTATCCTGATACCTAACTGGAATCCCCCTTCCTCACACTTGCAGACTCTCATTGGTTTGGCAGGCACTTCCAGGTCTCATTCAATCATGCTCCAGCCTCCACTGGATAGCCAAGAAGAATTCAACCCCCCCTTCCCCTAAACCAAGCAGAACATCCTCAGCTTTTTCACTCAGACACCACGTGCTCCAGCCACCAGTCACCTTGGTGGTGTGCAAATGCCTTTAATGCACTGGCATCCTTCATGCAACACCAGGATCTCCAAGCACTTGTCTGCACAGCTGCTCTGCAGCCAGTCACTCCCTCACGACACATGGGTTATCTCGCCCCAGGTACAGGGCTTTGCATTTATTGACCATCAGTGGGTTTATCTTGGCTCATTTTTCCAGCCTGCTGAGATCCCTCTGAACAGCCTTGCCTTCCAACATATTGACCACTTTCTTCTTCCCTCAGTTTATTGGCATCCACAAACTTAACAAGACTCACCCACCTTGGCAGGATGTTCATGTAACCATTAAATAGCACTGACCTCAACACCAGCCCTGAAGAAATGTCCCCAGTAACCGGTCACCCATCAAGCTTTGAACCACTGACTGCTACCCTTGAAGGTCACTGGTTCAGCCAATTTTCCACCCACTTTCCACCTAATTAGTACATCTTTCTATAGCTATGATGATGATACTGAAGACCATTCATGTCAAAGACCTTGCTAGAGTCAAAACCAGGAAGTATGCAAAGCCAGTCATCTCAGAAGGAAAAAAATAAATCAATCAGGTTGGTCACCATGTTTTATCTGTGCTGGTTGTTCTCAATTTAAGGAGTGTCATATTCAAAACTCCTGTACCAGAAAGGAAGAAGAAGGTGCTAGAAACTGGGTTTCTAGTTTCTTGGATCCTCTTTGCACAGAACAGAACAGGGAAGAAACTATTTCATCACTTTCCTTTCAAGACAGAATAAGCAACTTTTAATGCACTTTAATGCCTTTTCCTCTAACAAGTTTTTCAGTCCCTCATTACCTGTACTCTCCCTCTACCATTTCCTGCAGGGAATTTATTTGCTGCCTCTGGGTTTTTAGCCACTACCAGCTCCTGTCTCAAAGCCTCTTTAAGCATTACTCATTTGTGTCAGTTGGCTGTGTGCTTTCTACCCTCACATTTCCCAAGACCATTCACATCCAATTGTTAGAAATCAAGACACCATCAGTAAAGCCACCACCCATGGACAGGGGATTGCTTTTTGCTAGGCAGTCTGAGAAGGAAGACTGAACACAGGCAACAGACTGCAGTTTGCCCCGCTCAAAACCAAAGCATTTTCAGACAGGGATAGGAATTTAGTAAATGCTGATAGGAAACAGGAATTCAGGGGCACCAGTCAGACCTGGCAACAGTCACTGCAGGAGGAAACAGCTTCCCCCCTTATAGATGACAATTCCCTATTCTCCTGACCCACTCCCTGCAAGCAGAGTAAGAGATGAACATGCAGGATGTAGGAATGGCCTCACTCAAGCAGCAGTGAGATTTTACAGTAAGACTAGAAATTAACCTAGAGGCACCAAAAGGAACCAACAGAGTAGAAGCAGAACTTCAGCTTTTTATATATATATGTTTTGCAAGGGGAAAATAGGTATGAAACCCATCCTAAACTGTGTATTCAATAAATCGTTGTTACAGTATTCCAGTTAGTAAAGATGAATATAGCACACTCCTAGGACAGAATAAAATCTGCTACTACATTTAAAGTGTACTATCATAGTATAGATAAGGGGGCTATCACTGATGAAACTGCACCTGCATTACTAAACAAATTGACTCTGTTCAGGGAATACCATTTTAAAGTCTGTCACCTTGAGCGTCCTTCCAATCCTTCTCCAACTCACCTTGTCTTCAGAGTCCGAACTTTTCAGTGTTGCATTACTTGGTGATTCTGATGTGGCTGCAGAATCTGGCGGGATATTTACACCATTGGTGCCGCTGCTGAGAACTGCAATAAGGAATGAGAAAGTGACAAATTCTCTAAAAGCAGTAAGTTTTCTATAGCAACTTGCATTCTGTTTTCTTGTTTAAGTCCATGAAACACTGCAATGTGAACTACAGAGCTCCCACTGTATTTGGCGAGAGACATAAGGACCACAATTCAGCAATTCTCTGCAGAATGAAATATCCAAACGCAAAAAAACCAAGAAGGAAAAAAAAAATCACTTAATCTATACAAATGCTGCAGATACTTCAACACATACAACTGCAAGTAACCACCCTGGTCCTATCTAATACTGATCTAGCTACTGACATGCTGAACTCTCACTGAAAATTTGTACTCCAATTTCCTCTGTAGAGTCCAATCTATGCCAACAGGCATACCAAGAAATCAAGATATGATTCTATGGCCAGATTCAGCATTAACTGAAGTTACTTCTCTTTCAGTTCAACTGAACTTCCAAATAACAGAAGGTGGGGTGCTGGGGAAACACAGGAGTTGAGAAGCCATAGACACATTGAACAGGTTTTTTGCTTTAACTTCCACTTTTCAATCATGCCTATTTCTATTAGCTATATCAAATTCCAAAACAAAGTAAAAACCATAATCTACATGACCAAGCTAAGAATTAAAATCATATTTTAAAGTTCCAACTCCACAATGGTTCCCAAGCCTAGAGGCACCTCCTAGTGATGTGGGCATATTATATCATTGTGTGGCTGGCTGAAGTCTACCGTTCAATTGATCAGCAGTAGCTTATGGTCCATGCTGTCACCCTTAAATGTCTTTTTATTCCAAAACAAAGCACAGACCACACCAAAGTTAGAGGCCTGGCAATGACAGACGGTCATCGTATACGAAAACTGAAGGGTGTTATCCCTTAAATGGTAAGTATTTCTGTGTTATGTAAGTTGTTTCTTTTCTGAAAGGAGAAACCTAGCAAAACAATGGCTGATACCGAGTAAAAACAACCCACTGCACTAACCAGATTTTGTATTTTTGTTCTCCCTTTGCAGTATTCTAGAAAGCAAAAGCATTATTTACCCATCTGCGAGAAAGCTTTTGGCTGTGGGGCCTGTAATACTGCTGGACGTAGCACACTTCGCTGCTGCTCCTTCGGTTTCTGGCTAGGGAGACCTGCAAGTACAAAGTGTTTTTCAAAAGGTGTAAAGCTTTAAAGTTGAAAAATTCAACTTAATCTAGTCTTCTCTGTAACTGCTTCCAACAGAACATACAATGGAAAACCAGACATTTAAAAAAGCTTCCACCCCCTTCTTTTCCATCCCTCACTGAGCCTCTAAATTGGGATTAGCTCAAAGAGAGCTGTGAGCATTTCGGACATTGCTCTGGCCCATCCCAGACTGAGTGTCTATTAATGACTGGAACTTGTTCAGGGCACTCCTGGAGCACCCCTTTTGCTACCAGAACAACTGAATTCGTGAACTCCAGAACTACTTTAAGAACTGAATCAAAATGTGCCCAGCAGAGACAACCGGGAAATACACTTCAGAAATGCATGACTGATCCAAGCCAAAATCTGGATGCGTCTATACCTATTACACAGTGAATATGGGCATAACCACTCCAGAGAAAGCGAGATTTTTTTTTTCTGCATAAACACAGCTATTGCCACCTTCCAGTTACCACAGCAGTTTTAGGAAACTACTAAAAGCAAAAGCTTGAACTGGGTTCTTTGTTTTGCTGCAGAAGACACTGAACTCACCTGCACTGGGTGCCTGACCATGGATAAGTATTGGTGGCTTCAGCCGGAATCCACTGCTCTTTTCCTCTAGAAGCAAAACACAAAATTACAAGGACTTAGCTGCAGCATACAGCATACATTGTCAGTCATAAAATTCCTCATGCTTTCACCATTGTAACAACACAAGATCCACAGATATCCAAAGTCATAAGGCAATTTCCAGAGAACAAATTCCCTTCTTCCAAAGAAAGCCTGAATTTCCAGTGATGATCACACCAAGTATACGTACACAGAAACAAGTTGTTGCAAGAAAAAACGAAATTAAAATTGCTTTCATGAGAAGCAAACAGAGCATTTTCACAAAAGAAATGGAGTTCCTTTTCTGAAGGACTTAAAAGGTACTTAGAGGTTTTAAGTGAGAATCAAACTAAAGAAAATAAAATCAAATCAAAAGTATGACTGATCATGACAGTTGCTTACAAGCACCCAACTGCTAATTATCATAAGTTAAACTTCACTGCTTGTTCTTGTAATTTCATTAGCTTTTACCTTATGCTTTTATTGTATGAGGGTAAAAAATTCCTTTGCTTGTACTCATTAGTTAAGGCTTTTAGATAAAATACCAAAAACTCAAAAAAGTGACGTTCATAAATCCACAGCTACTACAAAATGAGTTCCTAAGAACTTTCAAGGTATAATTAGAAAATGTTTCCTTTTAGGGACACAATGGCTGTGCTCAGAACTCAGCTCCGTACCACCTTACTGTACTTCACTGTCAAGATAATGAACTATACACGATACCACACAAACTGCAGAACCATGGTGATTAACAAAATCAGTGGTACTGCCAACACAGGGTTCACAGGTGATGGCTGAACATCATGACTGTAGATTATGGTTGATTTGATTTTCAATATTAAAAAAAGAAGTATCCAAAATGAATAAAAATTAAGGGAAATTTTCATTTATCTTGAGGTGAACAGGTGGCCATAGTCATATTGCAGCCTTCCATCACTACTCTCAAAGCATTTAAGTATTTTGATATTTGTTACTTTAATTACCTCCAGCAAGCATGAAATCAAGCAATGGTGTGAGCAAGAGAACAGCTGCAAGATCAGAACCATCGCCACTTCATTCTCCCAGACAGCGCCTTACCCCTGCAGTATCAGAGCACCCTGGACAGTGACAGCCATGTGCTGAGACAGCAGAAAAATGAGGATGCTCACCTGGTTCCGAGTCAGAATTTCCTGTGGAGGGTTCACAGAAGCTTGATGGCATAAAGACGTTGTTTTTTGTTACTGCAGTCAAGGGAAAAATAATTTAATAAAATGTGTATGTTGTTATAAATTATAAACTCAGTTCCTAGACATATCAAGGCTGCAAATTGAAAGTTATTTTCCCAGCCATTTGTTTTGTTTATTTTAGGTTTTTCTTTTGTCTAAACTAAAACAGTATTACAGCCAAGTAGTAAATAGGTCATTGTCCATAAAATCCCCTTAAGTTTCTCCTGAAACAGAAAAACAGCAAACCTCACTTATTCTGGAGAGAAGACAAACAGGATTCCTGGTCCGAACTGTATCTGAACTAAGAATTAAAAGTGATGCTAGAATGTATCATATTGTTATAAAGTACAGGTAACATTTCAAAAGGGCAGAAAGCAGTTCAACGTCTGATAAACACTGGAAGGAACACCTGGGCTCCTCAGAAGGCTTATGAGCAATAGCAAAGCTTGCACCAAGAGCTGGGTGACTTATGTTTGAACTGTCCTGCGAGGACAAAACTACAGAAGCGGAGAAGAGTACATCAGAGTGTTCGTGGATGTCACACTTAAGCATAACAGTCAGCAAGAGAGCAAAAACTGTTCAAAATGGAGCAGCCAAAGGTCAGTGTTTCTTTTCCAACCTTTGCTGGGACCTCAAGAAGAGAATAATCAGGAGTTTGGTTGAGGCCCTGTTCAGCAGCTGAAGCACTTTTGGTGTTGTACAAAGAATCCCAGACCATGCAGTCTACAAAATATGATGATCCAAGCAGGAGGTAGATGCATCAAGGTATGACAATATTTATCAGCTCTTTTAGCTTTTATGAGGGTGTGGAAGAAGATTAAGTATGTTAAAAAGAGAAACGAAACTCATCTCTGAACACCATGACACTATCAGCTGCAGTACCTTCCTTTTCTGTTTTAGATTTTTTTTAATTTGCTTCTTTAGTTTAATTCCATCTTCTCTTTTTATTATGGTCAGCCTCAAGCTTAATCATTATGCAGGTTTCATATA